TATGGTTCATGGGGTCACGAAGAGTCAGACACGACTTAACGACTAAACAACAACAACAATATTAACTGAAAATAATAGTAGCCACAGAAGCATTTCCACTTTAGCCTGGTTCTTTAAGGAAAATATTAGAATTGTGCTGTAATGTTCAGTATAATGAGATAAGAAGGGAAACTCAGAAAGGCATCTGAGACTACTGTATATGGTTGAAACTGTAATATAGGAGACAAATTTTCTTTCATCCCCAATTTTCTCATCCTGCTTTGTTCCCCTAAAACCTGTAAACCTGGTTGATTTGAAGTCACATTAATGTTTGTGCTTTCTTCCTTATTATCTCTTTTAATCAGTAACTGAGTCATATGTTCCATACTCAAGCTTCTGCATCTCACATTCTATTCTTACTGCAGCTTTGCTCATTGCCTAGAATCTGGAAACCATTTTGGTTGGTATCTTTTCATTCTAATTTATTTTTTCTGTGTAATAATATTCTATGAACTTCCTCTATTGTTTCTATTCTTCTGCCTATTGCAGAATATGTTTTTCCTCAAACTTCCTTAGACCTCTGGTTCTTGCTTCCTCAGAATCTTCAGTCAGTAAACTCTTTTTTTTAACTTGTATTACTTCACATTACTACCACACATGGCAAAACTAGGTTTACTTGGTTAGAAGTGGCATAATTTCTTCTATTTTGGGGGGACTAAACAAATATATTTTAAAATCTCACTGCCACCACCCCAAAATGACAAACTAAAAAGTTAGTGTTACTGAAATTTGATTTAAATTGAAGTTATCTTTCTCATAATTTCTTTTCTTCACAGAGTACTAACTTGAAAGTGGAGTTATTATATTCTGTCTCTCATTTTCTCAGGATCAGCACACTGAATTCCTACCTTTGTACATCAAAAACATTTTGTTTTATTTTTGTGTTTCGCACTGAAAACATGAAGGAGAAATTGTATATCCACTAGCATCTAAGTTTCTTCCAAATCACTTAAGTCAGTAATTCTAAAGCTTAAATAACACTATTACTTACTTTACTTGGCTTAGCCATGCTTCTATATAACGGAAAGGAAAATATGAAATGCATCAATTGTCTAATGTTTACCTGATTTATGAGCTAGCTTTAAAACGTAAGGTCTCATATCCACAACGTAGTGGTCAAATTCTGAGTCCAATTTCTCCCATGCTTCCTCTTCACTGCTCATTGTGCTCATTCAATAAACTATGTACAGATGTGTTTTCCAAGATCACTGAAAAAATCATTCAGAAAATCAGAAGTAATGTTATCAAGAACACAGAATGCTAGCATTACATTCATAACTTAAAAGGGTATCAAACATTGCACAAAATACTTACCCTCAGGCAATAGAGAATGCTCCTTGCCCTCCTCCTTCTATACCTTTCAGAACAGTTCTATAAGGGGGAAAGAGAGGTAGGGATAAAGAGGATAGGATGAATCCACCAGCATATACACTTAGTTGGCCAGCAGATAGAAGGCATGGCTCACACTACAAACAGCAGAAATCTTTAAGCCAAAATTACTTCATATTCTCAATACGGCAAAAACCATAAATCACAGCATTCACAAATTAAACGATATTCACCACTCATAAAGGGAAGCAATCAAAACTTATCCCATCTTGAATTTTAGTTATATCGAAAATGAAAGCTTTTATATCTTTGCAGCTTTTATCTTAGCAGCTACTATAACATTTTTTCTAAAATACTGTGTTTCATGCATAAGGTCAAATATACACAGTGAAACATCAATTTACAATGACCCAAAGACCACTGCCTTGAATTGAAGTCACAGGTCATAGGAAGTTTTAGAGTTCCCACTGGAACTGGAGACAAAGAAAAAGGTAAGCTATAGGGATGTCCAAAATATTGAGGCTCTGGATGGCCATTTCAAGTGTTCTAAGGAGCAGTAGTTGTCTTTTTTTATATAAACAAATTATAGACAGATACATATAGCAAAGAGTTGCTTTTCGCTTAGCATTTTTGTTGAGAGGATGACCAAAAATTTAAAAAGTCTGTTGGTTGAATTTGCTTTGTAGATAGAGTACAAGTCCATGCTGATTGCTTTCTTTCACCTAGCCTACATAAAAATTGCCCAAGCAAATGATTTTTTAAAATCCCTACTGTATATATTTTATCTTTTATTAAGTATCTTTCCTGGGTTTTAATGTTTGTTTTTGGTAGATTGGGCGGCAGGTGGCAGTAAGCACACAACTCCATCAATGTTTGTGGTTCTAAGATATAAAAAAGGGAACAAGGGGTTAGTTCCAAGTTCAATTGTTTTCTGTGACCCAAATACTTTAAAAACTTGAATTCCATTCCCCTAGAACTTGCAACAATTGAGCTATTCTGCACTTGGTTACATCACAACTCAAGAAGTTGAACCCCTTGAGTAGGGGAAATTTAGTAATATGCATGCAGACTCAACTTCAATGTCATGAGCACACATGGAGGCAATCCTGGTGGGGAATGTTGTTATATCTACCTGCTGTCACTATTAAAGGCAGAACATCAATTCATGCTAATGTAAATACCCTTCTGTGTAGAACTTGAAGATGATTACAAAAATATCTAGGTGTAACAAAAGGAGTACACACAAACTCATGGTAGCAAAGATGTGAAATTTTCTCTTTTTGGACCATTCCAAAGAATTTGCTTCAACATTCCAATCAAAATATCACAAGTCTGTTTTCTACAACTATACTACTTAAAATAGCATTTACAGTGCTATTTTAATTATCAAATCATCACAAAAATCAAGGATATAACATTTACCAGTCATTCCCAACATGCAGTGAATGAGCATAAAAAATGTGATCATAACCCCACAAATTATTCATGCTATCTTAAACACAGTTAATTCTATTGAACATAGTGAGCTTCTTTCTCAGTGTAAATATGTATAAGATTTATTCAGGATTTTCAAACCAGAGGGGGGAAGCCACTGTTTTCACCAAAAGTGATCCTAAGCACAGCTACATACAACTGAACCTCTTTGTTCTATGGAAATTTATATAGGATAACTCTTTTAATTCTAAATTACTTCATGCTCACTCAGAAGTTTGTATCTCTAGCTGGATTTGTACAATAATCTCACCCATGACTGAGTAAATCAGGATTTTGGGGGGAGGGGGTGTTCACAACCCACTGAACCACATCTACCACCACACTAGGTTAAAGTGTTTTTGGCTGATTTGTGGTTCAGTAAGTCAAGCTTACCACTTACCACTATGTTCAGTGGATTTGTATCACACAGGATGGCAACACTGAACCTCAGTCATATACACATTTACTCACAGGCAAGCCCCACCGTTCAAGAATGCTTATGGCCAAGAATGTGCCCAACGGGAACCTATAACCTTTGGCTCTTCACCCCACGTTCATGACAATATAACCCCGTTTACCTCACGCAGTCCACGACGTCAGAGCCTTTGGGCACAGCTTTCCACTGAGGGAAAGGATTAGCACAAGCACTTCACCAAGAGTGAAACTGCAAGAGGTCTAAAGGAGTGGGATATAAGTGAGGAACCGAACTGTCTCGGAGACTCCCAAAGCCTCGGCACTGACACGTCCACTCTTCCTCCTTCTACTGCTATTCATGAACCGGGGAAAGCCCCGCGCCTCCAAGGCTCCTCTTCAGGCCTGCAGAGGAAATCCAGAAGAGACGCAACCGCTGCTAGGAGCCCATCCAAGCTCAGCCAACGGCTCGCGCCGCCCAACTCTCTCAGCAAGGGAGTGGCGAGCAGACCCAAATGATTTCCGCTTCCGGTGAGAGCCTTGTCGGGCGGTTGCCGCGCAACGCGGCGTTTGGAAATGTTCCTGGAGTGTTAGAGTTCGGCCTCGGAGGGGCGGACTCCGAGGTCCAAAAGGCTGGTGGGATTATTTTTGTGTGGAGGACGAAGGCAGGAAAGCGGTGAAACCAAGCCCTGTGGAAGGAGACGTATCTCTGAAAGCCCGTAGCGAAAGCGATCTGAAAGATTAACCCGTGTGCGGTTGCATAAACTTTCGCGGATCGCGTGACTCTTGTATCTGCCGCCCTCTGGAAATGAAGACAAAATCTTGGGTTTGGGCTGTAACGGGTAAGCTCACCCTATTAGTGAAGGCGAGGACCTGGGGTTTTGCAGGTAAGTATAACTTTTGGGGGGGAAAGTGAGGTGGTGGATTCTGGTTTTAGTGTCCTCCAGGAGAGTCAGGAATGGCGAAAGGACTGGTGGCTTCGACAGTGTATTTCCACGTGTATGGATGCACGTTTTTCGGATGTGGACGCCGCGCCAGGGAAACTTGAAGTCTTCCGCCTTGGCTTCCTGCGTTGAAGGCAGACAAACGGCGTTATGCGAGAGGGAGAAAATCTTCTGCACGGGAGCCAAAGGAAGCGTTGCAGCAACAACAGCTTTTTAATTCATGGGAGCAAGTTCTGATTTGAGATAGTACCTGAGTTTTCTCATTTTGGAAAAAGACAGGGTCTTAATCCATTCCCTGCAATATTTCGCAGGTGGAAAGAAGCTTTATAGTGAACTATTCTTATCTCATGAGCTGCTGCCTGGATGGACAATCCACATCTCTTTCTTTAAATGGGTTTTGCTTCATCTTCTGTGCTTTGCACTGCAGTGATTTGTCCTTCACTGTTCTGAGGAGGGGAAAAGGTTGAAGAACATAAAAGAGAATTACATTTATGTATAAAAATAAGGGGATTGGGTGATATAGGGTTTCAGTTATTGGGCAAGGATCAGGGAATTCAAGTCCACCCTCAAGCATGGAAATTCACTAGGTGACTTCACTTCCTTTTATCTAGTCTACCCATTGGAGGTTTTTTTTGGGGGGGGGTTGATTAAATGAAGAGAGGTCCTCATATACTGGTCTGGGTTCGCACATTGCTTTAAGATACAATTTGCCTAACCATGATTTATTTAAACTACAACTGGCTAGATTCCCATAATACACTAGTCAACAAACTGAACCACTTTATTTATTAGTACAATGTAGTTACCATTCTCAGTGTTTTAATATAATTCAACTGTTATAGTTCCCATGTGGAAGCTGTTGAAACTGCTGTGCTTCAACACTTCAACACAGCACAAAAATGTGTATTTCTATTATTATCAAGAAATGAAGGAATAGACTGCATATATTCCTCAGTATACTTGCGCTAATAAAGATTTGATTATGACTTTTCCTTTTTAATGAAAATGTTATGTTTCTTACAACAGAATCTTCAGCAGTCAAGCAAGATCTGTCAGTAATAGAAAACTATCACAGCCCAATAAGAATTCAGCTTGGTATAAACTAAGTAGTTGTAAATAACTTATTATCCACCTATTATCACAATCATAAAGCTATAAATCAGGACTCAGACTTTCATCAGAGTTGAAGAGACAAGTGGTAGCTATGTTCAAAGTACCAGCAAGCAATCCATGTCAGTACCCCGATGATATTTTGCACTATACAGTATATGCAGAACTCTGTGTATTATATTGTCCTATGCAAACTTAATGGCATTTTGATAAATGAAAGCAGTCTTTTCTTTAGAGTTCTTGAAAGCAAAACCAAGAAAAAGGAAGAACCAAAAAAAAAAGATTTACAAGCTGTATAAAATTGAATAAGATGTTTCAAAATAATGTTAGATTAGTAAATGATATATCTAGTTATATATCTATATATATATTTAACAGCATTTTAAAACTGTTAATAAAATCAAATCATTATTCAGTAATTAGCAAAGGAGACCAGTATGATAAGAACCATCAATCAGAATAAATAATTAATAGGAGTTTCTATCTAATCTGAGAAAGTATGTTGTTATCACAAATCAGGCCAAATCTAATACTTTACAGCCTTTTGTTAAGAGAAACCTACACTTCTGATGTAGTACAAATCCATGTGCAGAGTTATAGTCCATAAATAGTTTCCAAGTTAAATTATATTCAGTATCAGGCTTGTTTTTTAAGTACATATTTTTACTTTGATAAAAAAATAGCTTACTCTACCTTTTTTCTAAAGAAAGAATTATGTGTACAGTATTATCATATACATAGCAACAGCTAGCTGGAAAGAAAAGTCAGTATTTAAAATTTGTTTCATTCTGTGATGAATCATCTTCCAGAATTATTAAGCTTTATGATAATGTCACCAATATCAGATAGGAGGGCACGTCTGACCCATCTGGCCAGTTGAGAGTAAAGTCTGGTCTTCTTCCTTTGGCTGCCCAGAGGAGAGTAGGGTGGCTGGGGGATAGTGTTGATGGGGGGAGTGAGATGTGACCATATATCCCAAGTGATGAGTGATGAGTGCCAGGCAGAAGCACCCCAGTGCTTGGGTGCATTTGCCATATCCTATCTTGCATAATGTGTGTGAGTATGATGGTGATTGGGCCCTTTGACCGGGGGGTGGGGGTGGGATTGGATATGGCAAGGGGGAAGAGGGCAAGCAGGGACCATGTTAGTGATGTGCATGGGAAGATATGATGGAAGATGGGGTGGATTGCCCTCAGGGAAGGTGGCCTCAGTGTTTAGTACCAATTTTGTGTTCCAGCCCCTTATGCTAAGCCCCGAGACCTGGTCTTCAGAGCTTATCTTGTCCTTGTCTCTGTCTGCTGCTACTTAATGCAAGGTCAGCCTGTATTAAGACTCACCTCATCTGTCACCTAATCTTGGGTGAGAAAGCCAACCTGGTTTGCATTACTGAAGCCTGACTGGACACAGAGGGCTGGTTTCTCTCTTGGAAAAGTACCCTCTTTGGTTTTGAGTGTGGTATCAGCTGTGATTCTTAATGAGGTATGGCTGTTGTCATCCAACAGGCTCTGGTGGTGTTCAGGATGCTGTTCCTGCATAGCTGGATGTGAAAACTTGTTTGTTAAATTGGGCCAAAGGGATTGGGATTGGGATTTGTTAAATTGGGCCAAAATTGGGATTGCCACTACTGAAACAGACTCTGTGCTGCATAGCAGCTTCCCTGCCTATGCTCAATTCTATAGCTGAATTGGTGGTGGAGTTTTCTGGGCTCATGGTTTTGGGGATGTCAACATGCCTTCTCTGAGCCCGGAGTCAGAGGTGGCTCAGGAACTGATCCAGATAACTGGGGGCCCTATTCATGGGGGGGTGTCATATACTAGATCTGATGTTTTGTCTCAGGGCATCATTTGTAGCTGGTGGGCTGGAAGAATACACTGGTTATCTTCTGTAATGCTTGTACTCTCACATCTGTGGTGAAGCATCACTCAATTTTTTTCATTCACAGGAGTCTATGTATACCCAGCATCTGTACCATCCCACCACTATCATCATTTTGTCATAGGTTCATTTTGGAGTAACACGCACAGGACAGATATAAAACAATTTCTGTATTCAGGATTTTTCCAAAGGTTTTCAAATATAAAGTTATGAACACAGGTTTGAGATTCCAGCCTGAGTAGTATATTTGTTATTCTTGTATTACCTAAACCTTATCTTGTAGTTTCTACTTCTCTATAGCTCTATGACTTATTTCTTATACTATCTTGTATCTTAGCTATTTTCTCATTTCTTTCTTATGTTACTCTGTAGTAATAATTTATAGAGAATATAACTTGCTGTTTTTTAAAATCTAGTTTTCAAGTCCTCTTATCTTTTTGAGAACCGGAGCAGGTTACCACAAGAAACTTAAGCATAGTTTGAGGTAGTTTCTCAGTTGTCTATAAAGAAAAAAATCAAGCTTCATTCATCACACTAAATGAAGCTCTTGGAAACATTACTGGATATTGTACAACAATATTTTACAGTTTCTGCACAAATCTTTCATGCTTGAAATGTGAGTCACAGAATTCATTTCATCACTTCAAACGATTTAGGGTAATAATTTTCATTCTTCCTGCCAGAAGATAGTAATTACAGAATTACTTGTATCAACCTGGAGAATAGTGGCTTAAATCCTTGAATGCAATTGTTTTAGAAACTGATAAGCAGTAAGAATAGGTTAGAGGAATTCAAGAACTTAATCATTTTGTTTAGAAAATTAGTATTACTAATAAGGCTGTATGGTGATTTGGATTCTAAAGCCAAAATGTGATACTCTGCCTAGATGGATAATTGGTAGTAAACTTCCACATTGGTATCACCTTTGTTTCTTACTCCATTTAATAGTACCCTGTATGTTTTTAAGAGGATTTTCATATTCATTAATTTCTTCACAGACATATAGCTATTCCACCTCCCTTTTTATTGGGTCTGGGGTTTTTTTTGAACAAGAAAATTCAAAATTTTCTTTAAAATTTTCGTAAAATTCTTAAAATTCTAATTACTACTCTCATCTCACTAGGTTTTCAAGATGCTCTACCAGGTCATGTTTGCTTTCTTGTGTTAGCATTTCTAGTTTCTCCTATTTGTTACCCATATTCTATGTTTTAGCTTACACACACTGGAAAATAGAAGAGGAAAGACTCCACCAAATATGTATTGCCTTGTGCCTTCTCCATTGTCACGTGCAGCCATATTCTTATTGCCCAACAGTTCTCTAACTATATATATGACTTTATATCCCTCCCTTTATCAATTTAGTTCAAAAACCTGTTGAAAACGTTTTCAAAACTCTTGCCAAACACATTTTCCCTGCTCTTCTAAAGTGCAGGCAGTCCTTTACATGGTGTAAACTTGATGATACCATCTTCTTAGCAGTTCACTTCCCCAACCCTGCTTTCCATTCTTGTCCCTTGACCATCAGTGGGAAAGATGGATGAAAA